ATAAAATAACATTTCTCAGGCACTCACTTTTACTGTAGAAGTAATCATTATGGTAGGTCCAAGAATCTTGGAATCCTTTTTCTATCCTACTCCATTATCTGTCCTATATAGGCCTTTCTACCCTTACTCCTCAATCCAGTTTTTCCCTTCACACCTGTAACATTCATGGGGCTTTGCCAAAATAATCCCACTCTTAACCATCAACAGAAATTTATTCTTTCCCACTACCCTTTGTGCATGCCTCCTTAGCACTGCTGACTGGACATTCCCTTCCCTGTTTCCTTAGCTGGCAACCTCTGAAACCAATTGGTGTAGAAAATGTAAGTTTATTTAAGGCTATTAAACATCTGCAGACTCCATCTCCATTAAGAAATTTTCCCCCTGAGTCACCAAATCCTTGGCTTTTATTTTTTAATCTATATAAAGAGCCTTGTCTTTCTCCTCCTGCCAGGATCACTGCTATCCACATCCCAGCCCTTGCTTTGATAGGTTACCAGCCTCAAGACTCCAGATCTCTTGGCCCCAAATACTAGGCAAACCTTTCCCTCCCATGCTGCTTGTCAAAATCCCAGCCTTGCATGCTGAACGTTCCGAGGCCAGTCTCTTTTTCACCCTCCCTCTGTCTCCCACAGGAATGTTCAGATGTAGCCTAGAGAATTAGGCAAGATGAAGAAAGAGAATACCCTGATTATATGTCTTTTTAATGGACAGTGGGGTCCCCTGCTGCCAGTAATGGTTACTGAGGCATCAGTCTCTGCTATAATGAGGATAGAGGAGACAGTCTCTCTTTCTGTGTCCCATAAACTTGCAGCTCCATCAAGATGTTCTTCTTGTATGTTCCAATAATAGTTCACATATAGCATTTTATGAAATATTCTACCTGCAATAACTCAGTAAAGTACATTACACAAATAGTAGCATTTCCATCTTAGGGGTGAGGAAGCAGAGGCCTAAAGAGATAGGATGACTTGGTCAAAGTCAAAAAAAAGTCTCAGAAGAAAACTCTGATTCTATATTTAATGGCCTTTCATGTTCCTGCACTGCTCTCCCTTCTTCGTTGATCTCTCCCTTTTCTGAACATCTGTGATAATTCAAGACAACATACTGTTTGTAGAGGAGTCTCCATCACCTGGCAGAGTGCCTAGCACATAGTAGGTACTTAATAAATGTGCCTTGCACACCATCAGTGCTAGGGAGGTACTGGGAAGACAAGGACAAACATCAATCATTTAAAAAGTATTCATTAAGTACTTAGCCTTCAAGGAGTTTATATAATCTAGATAGGAAGAGGAGAAAGAAAGAAAGAAAGAAAGAAAGAAAGAAAGAAAGAAAGAAAGAAAAGAAAGAAAGAAAGAAAGAAAGAAAGAAAGAAAGAAAGAAAGAAAGAAAGAAAGAAAGAAAGAAAGAAAAGAAAGGAAAGGAAGGAAGAAAGGAGGGAGGGAGGGAGGGAGGGAAGAAAGAAAGAAAGAAAGAAAGAAAGAAAGAAAGAAAGAAAGAAAGAAAGAAAGAAAGAAAGAAAGAAAGAAAGGAAGGAAGGAAGGAAGGAAGGAAGGAAGGAAGGAAGGAAGGAAGGAAGGAAGGAAGGAAGGAAGGAAGGAAGGAAGGAAGGAAGGTGAGAGAAAGAAAGAGAAAGAAAGAGAGAAAGAAAAAAGAGAAAAGGAAGGGAAGGGAAGGAAGGAACTACAGAAAGGTGGCTAGATAGAGATAAAGAATAGATATGGACAGAAAGATAGAGACAGAGATGGGTAACATAGTTGACATAAATGACATAGATGTAAATATGTACAAAATGCACACAAGATAAATGGGACAGGGAAGCACTATTAGCTAGGAGAGATCAGGAAAGGCTTCATATAGAAAGAAGCCTTCTTGTATATCTCCTACAATGTACATAATACTTCAGCTCCTTCCAAAGATTCAGGATTTCATTGGGGTGAGCATTCCCTCTACTCATGAAATCATGACTTCTTCACATCTGAGTAAACAGTCTTCCTGAATTTCTGTAGCCAAAACTTCATTTGGAGGGGAGCCAGCCTCCTGTTGTAGATGGGCCTCTTTGCACTAAACTCTACGATTCCTTAGTGTATAAACCCGTGGGCTGCCATTGGGCCTTCATCCAAAGTCTCTCTGGCTATTTAGGGTAAACCTGTGCTGCACTTTGAAAGCAACCCTTGTACAGCCTTTGAGAACCCAAGGTTACTCACTTCTACTCTGCCCCATAATAACCAAGGAGGAGTTAGGTGGAACCCAACAGTGCTCAATAAATGCTTGTCTGCCAATTCTTTCATCAATTTCTGCTAGATTGGGTTTCTAGGAGCCTACCTCACCCATCCCTTACTACTCTAGGCACTATTTACCTAGAAAGGCAGTGTGGTCAGCTGAAAAAGTGCTGGATTTGGAGTCAGAGGACCCAGGGCCAAATTCCAGCTCTACCAATGGGACCACGGGCAAGGCATGACTTCATGGGCTCTCAACCTGCTCATCTGTAAAAGAAAAGGATTGAGCTACAAAACCTCTAAGGTTCCTCCCATCTCTAAATCTACAACCCAAAGTTAAAGATCTAGCAATGATTCAGTATCTGAGTATAATGCAGATCTAAAACACAAATTACCTTGATCTCTAGACATCTGCATTAGAACACAGCCCCACTGTCTTTTGAATAAAGATCAGAACCTTGGGATAGAAAGATATACTGCCCAAACATGGCATCTATTTATATCAAATCGCCAAAGATGGGAATCCAATTTGAATAAGGATCACCCTTCTTTTGTTCCCTTCCCACTCCCCATCTGAATTGTTTCCAATCAGCTGGCCCAGACATGTTCAGTGACACGGAATTCAATTCAATAAGGAGTTATTAAGCACTTACTACAATATGTACAAAGAACTGTAGTAGGCTGTGAGAGTAAAAAGGAGAAAGAAAAACAGTCCCCATCTTGGAGATTACATCGTAGAAGGGAGAGACAAGAAGAACTCAAGTAAATAAATATAAAGTACACACAAAGTAATTTCAAGAGGGAGGGAATGAATGAAAATATATATATATATTTATAGTGTGTCCTATGTACCGGGCTCTTTGTTTGGTGCTGGGCATAAAAGGATAAAGATCTGATCTATCCTCAAAGAGTTTATATTCTAATAGGGACTGACAATACACACAAGAGTCCCATAGCCAAGGAGGGAGTTTTGGTCCAAGAAGTCACAAGGATGGTGAATGGAGCCACAAGCCAGCTGACTGTCACATGCTTTCCAGAAACAGTGGTAGCATTGCCTTGATTACTATTCCAAGAACAGGAGGTAGAAAAAGGTCTGGAGGGGTGATATGTGTGTGCAGCAGCAGAACAGATGGTCAAATGCTTAGGCAGGTGATGGTGGATGGTTGCAGGGGGTATGAAGCATGACCTAAGGCTGGTGAGATATTGTGGTTTAGATGGGTTTGTAAGCATTCACTAGCCCTCCAGTCAGGATGCCTCTGTACCAAGATGAAATTCCAAAGCTAAGTGGATAGATTAACTTCCCCAGAGAAGTATGCTAATAACTAGAAAAGGATTCAAAAGAAAAAATTTTGTTTAGGAAGTGATGCCTGAGTAGTGCTTTAAGGGAATTAGGAATTCTACAAGGCAGTGAGAGCACTTCAAAAGAAAGGGGGAAAACACCTGTGCAAATGTTCGGAGGTGGTAGATGGAATTTCATGTCCAGGAAACAACTATTCAATATTTGGTCATTGAATATGTGTTAATAGGGTAATGTGATCAAATCTGTGAGGGCAAAGATTACAACTGGGCAGCTCGCAGCTTACTTGTTTACATCTGGGTCAACCTTTTTACACACATACAATGAACACAAACACACAGAATGAGAACTGGTTTTGCTCACTACAACACAACACAACAGAGCTAACATCAGAACATCCCTGATCTGAAACTTGCCGTGATTTCCCTTCCAGCCCAGGCTCGCTCTGAAGAGAGAGCATTGATTGACTGCTTTAACTATCACAAGACAATAAGGTGCCTGGGGCTCATCATCTTTTCCTTTCCAGCCCACAGAGGAGAGAGCTACCCCAGGACCCAGGCAAAAGGCTCAATGGAAGCAGGAGCCCACAAAACCCATGACAATGATCCACTGGTACACGAAAACCACCAGGGCTCTTGGGAGCTAGTGAAAGGGAGGGACACAATCGGGTCACACTGGGACAAGGATACCCCAGCTTCACTGGGAATAGGGGGAGATGCCTGTGGGTCCTGGATTGTGAGAGCTGAGCCACTGCCAGGCCTGGGGCTGCCAGAACCACAGTGACCTCCCACCCCCGGGATCACCAAGGAAGTCCAGCCAAAGGTCTCCACAGAAAAGAGACTCTGCTCCGTTTGGGCTCTGGCAGGAATCCGTGTAGGCTGACAACAAACACCACCACAGCATCCAGGGGCCAGGATAACTTCTCACTCACTCTGGGGAGAAAGGAGGGCATTTGAGCAACCCCCCAGCTCTACAAGGTTATGTGAAAAAAAGGCCTTTCGAGATAAGCCAGGGCCTGGGTCTATACAACCTGGCACAGGGCCATATGGCACACGTACTCGATCTCAGAATAGTTTGGATAATCTAAGAACAGGTTTCTTAAATTATATTTTATATGTTTTTTTGTTTGTTTTTTGGGTTTGCTTTTTAATCTGTGCCCAGGGTTCCCCTAGGATTCCTTGAATCAGGGTGAATTCAGTGGACATCATGCTTTGGGGGGAGTCCCCTCATTTTTAGAACCTGGACAGTAACAAGGAGGGGAAAGAGGGTTCTATTATTTACTAGTTGGGCCCCAATTTCCCCATCTGAAAAATGATAAGATTAGGCTAGAATGAGCTCTTGGCCTCCGATCCCATGAGGTGAATCCCACAAGCTGTGGTTCATATGCATATAATCAGTCTTTAAACCGCTGCACCACGAGAAAAAAAGAAGTCATAGAAGATTCGCTAACTAGGGTTGATCAGGATAGTATGTTGAAATGGACTCACCAAAAAAACAGGACAATTATTCCCCATTGAATGTTTGCCCCTCATTTTCAAGGATGATCTTGTCCTCTCAGGTGGTCACCGAAGGAGGGAATGGCCAGGGTTTACACTCCCCTGTGATACCACATAGCAACATCAAGAGTAACAATTAGTCTCCTGTGGCCAGTGATGAAAATTACAATAGTAACAACAATCCCAGTAGTAGTAGTAGTAGTAGTACTAGTAGTGGTGGTGGTGGTAGTGGTGGTAGTGGTAGTGGTGGTAGTGGTGGTAGTGGTGGTGGTAGTAGTGGTGGTGGTGGTAGTAGTAGTAGTAGTAGTAGTAGTACTAGTACTAGCACTAGTAGTAGTAGTGATAGTGGTGGTAGTGGTAGTAGTGGTAGTAGTGGTAGTAGTGGTGGTGGTAGTAGTAGCAGTAGTAGTAGTATCTACCTGTCCAGACTTAGCTCTATATTCCTCACCCTAGTTAATTCTGTTTCAGCCAAATTGGATGACTCTCTGTCTTTCATTTTTCTCTTGCCTTCTTTTATCTCCATGCTTTGGATCAAATAGTTCCCTGAGCCTGGAATGTACTCCCTGCAGTGGTGATTTTCAAATGTTTTGTTTTGTTTTGTTTTTGCGCATGGCACAGTATTCTTCTTTGAAGTGGGGCAAGCTAAGAGAATTAACAAATTGCATGTGATTCCTAGGAGACTCACGTATGCACTTGCAATATGGGATGTAAATTTCAGGCACTCAATACCTTTTGATAACCACTGGCTTATACCTACACACACACACACACACACACACACACACACACACACACATCCCCACCCTTAAAATTCTCCCTTGCCTTCAAAGCTCAACCTAGATTTTGCCTCTTCCACTAAAACTTCCTTTATCTCTGTAGTTCGAAACGCTCTTTCCCTCCTCCGATTTCTCACAACAAGAATACCCCATCTAGGTTGTTAATAGTGTCTCATTTTTATGATTATAGTGATTTCTGCACATGGATGATCACCCCTATTATACTGTTTACTTCCTGATAGCAAAGGTTGTGTGTGGTTCCATTGTTGTATTCCCATGGTCTAGCACAATACTCTGAAGATGGTAGGCATTCAAACATTTGTTGACTTGAGGAGTCGACTTCAGCGTTTGTTGACTGGTTCATGAATTCCTCTTGCTGCAGAATGCAAACATCCTCAGAGTTCAAGTAATCAGATGTTTGCCATTCTAGACAGCCATAATCATTTCCCAGGGTTATGATTCTTTAGAGTCTTATTCTGATGCCTCACTAGGAACTGGAGAATGTCCAGAGGAGGACAAGCAGCGTGGTGAAGGGCCATGAGTCCATATCATTTGGGATGGTTTAGGTGGCAGCTAGGTGGCGCAGTAGATAGAGCACTGGCCCTGGATTCAGGAGGACCTGAGTTCAAATCCAGACTCAGACACATAACACTTAGTAGCTGGGTGACCCCGGGCAAGACACTTAACCCCATTGCAGAGCCAAAAAGAAAAAGAAAAAAAAAGAAAAGAAAATGGTTTGAAGGAACTGGTCATGTTTAGCCTGGAAAAGTGGAGACTGGATATAGAGGGAAGGGAGAGGAGGAGAGGAAGCAGCTGTCTTCAAGTATTTGAAGGGATCTTATGTAGAGGTGGTATTACACTTGCTCTGTTTGGTGCTAGGGGGCAGAAGCAAGAGCAATGTGTAGAAGTCCCAAAGAGGTTGATTTAGATTTAACATCAGAAAAAAAATATCCTTAAAATTACAATGATCCTAGTATTTTGACAGGTGATGGGTTCTTCTACTAGTTCTTTAAGCAGAGGGTGGGTGATGACTTGTCAGACATATTATAATAGGGATTCCTTTTGTGTCTAGGTTGGACTAGGTTAAGCCATCTGGCTATTAAGATCCCTTACAACCCTCAAATTCTGTTACTGTTGCATGATGGGGATCTGGGATTCTTGAAGATTATGACAGCAGAGTTCAAGCTTGGGCAATTCTTAATCTTGAAAGGTTTCAAATAAGGGGCTGATGCCAAATTGTCATGGCATCATCAGAATGTTGGCCATCAATGGAAGAAGGATACCTTGAGCCACAGTAAATTATGAGGACTGCCAAGATTAAGGTGTAGAGAGATTGTGATCTGTATTTGTAAGGGGAGCCCTCAAACCATGTATTCCTGAAATATTTAACTAAGAATAATGATGCTAGGGGTACTACAAGAACCACAGAAGCACAAATCCATAAATAAATGCCAGAGTGTAGCTACTAGAGTAAACAGAATCTTTCGAGTCATGTTAGAAAGAAGTGAGAAAAAAGGACTTTCTAAGCTATTTACCAGAGCAAGAAAATGAGCAAGGGAGGGGATAGTACTCCTGAATGAGATAGTATAATGTTCATAGATCATAGATGACAGAGACAAAGTAGAACTGTTCTATTCCTATTTTTCTTTTACTTTCTCCATCAAGAAAAAGATGCTCATAAGATCATAGACTGAAAAATGGAAAAGACCTTGGAGTACATCTTCATTTTTTTAACTGAGGAAACTGAGGTCCAGGGAGATTCAATGACTTGTGCAAAGTCACATACACAGAGATGAAGTATGAGTGGTGAGATTGAAACCCAAATTCTAACTCCAGAGTCAACAATCTTTCCACTGTATCCAACTAGGGTAACCAGACAAAGAATAGCCACCTCCCAAAGTAGCAGCTCCCTGTCGCTAGAAGTATTCAAACAGACCACCTGTCAGATGTGCTTTTAAAAAGATATCTGAAATGTGTGGAATGCTGGACTGAATGACCTCTGGGGTCAGAAGATCACAGACCTAGAGCTCTCAGGGATATTGGAGGTCATCTAGTCTAAAGCCCTCACCACAGAGCTGAAAAACTGAAGCCCAGAGAGGATAAGTAACCTGCCCAAGGTCACATAGATCATTATGCTTTCAAACTCAGGTCTGGTGATTCCAGGCTCAGCACTCCAGATTCCAAGTTTTTCCAACTGTATCATACTGGTCCTTTCTGATTCTAGGATTTTGCAATCCTCAAAAAAAATTATATTCAGTGCAGTTTTAGCACATTTTGGTGTGTTCTGATTCCTTAAAAATTGGTAAGTGATCAGAAAATATGCAGTGAGTGCCCACTAACCAGAATATTGCATTAACCAGAACACCCTGCTCCGGATAAACTGGAATTTACTGTAATATTAAACCATGGCTTGAAATTTGCCTTTCCTTCAAAATTCTCTTAAGCACTTTCCCATTGCCAAAATCCATTTGTCCTCATATCTCCCTTCATTTCTACCTACCAATATCCTTCAAGGCCTTCCTTTCCCGTACTACAGCCCTCTCATTTCCCCAAGATAAGAATAAGCTCTGCCTTCTCCTATGGCATTTGATGTACCCATTCCTCATGTGGAACAATACGCTTTCTGAGGTAATGATTTGTGTATGTGTATTATGCCCCCATTTTCCTACAGAGAGTATAAGCTCCCTATTTTTTGTACCCTACCTCCTTATCATAGTGCCTTATAATAATTTTTATTGAATAAAAGACTGCATGAATTCTCTGGGAAGCAGAGAACAAGTATAATTATCCCCATTTTACAGATGAGGAAACTGCCATAGAACGGTAAGAAGACTTGCTGAAGAAAGTCAACAGGGGAATGGCAGGGTTGGGGGGTGGGGAGACCAGTGCTTGATCCACCAGATGTTAGCTCAATAAAGTAGAATGAACTCTGGATGAGACATCCGTGAAATGGGTACCAGTCACAACTCTGTTATTAACTCTTTATCATTAACTACTCTTGGTCTGAATTTCCTCATTTATAAAACGAGGCAGATAAACTAGTGGTCTCTAATTTCCCTTTCTAATCACACATCATAGAATGGAAATTGCCTGAGTGTATGGATTGTTTCATTTTTGTCTCTGTAACCTATTCATTAAAAGTGCTGGACACATAGCAGGAAACACCCGCTCTTTGATGGGTCGACTGATTCTGAAAATTGTAGAACCTCTGTTAAGCTTCCTTACCAGTCAAAGAACTTTGGATTATACTTTGAATCAGCCATAGGCAAAGAGATTGCAAATGTATGTGGGTTATGATGAGGGAATGTTATAGAGTTTTCTCGTTCTATTAGGGAGGCAATGTGGAATGGTAGAAACCAGTAGACATTGAGTGAAGATACTAGGGTCATGTCATACATCTGATATATCGATTGTATGACCTTGGGAAATTCATTTAGTCTCTTTAAACCTGTTTCTGACAATATGTGTTGCTACCAACCCCACAGGGTGACTATAAGGAAACTGTTTTGTAATCTTCAGTGCAATAGAAATAAGAGTTAACACAATTTTCTTATTACCAGAGAATTCCATATATTAAGTCTCAGCAAAGGCAGAGGGAGCAAAGTACAGTGTTTAGCCCAAGGGTCCTAGATTTACTATATCCTGTCCCACAGGAGGTCACCATGTGGACATCCTCAGAAGACTGCTGGTGAAGAGAGGAGAAAGACAACAGGAAGGAACAGAACACAGACCATATGGATAATTACATTCCTCCTATGGATAGCTCACTCCTGCTGAAGTTCTAACCCAAAGCTCCCAATCTTTGCTGTCTGTCCCAAGCTATTGCAGATCAGCTGGTAGACAGCTGTTGTGAGGTCCACCCCAGAAGAGGCTGCCTTCCAGTGATGAGTTTAGGGTTGGATAGAGACTGTCTGTGAGGAACTCTGGGTTGCCCAGAGCAGAAACACAATCAGTACACAATAATGATGGCTGTTATGATTCTAAATCTCTTATAAAGCCTCTTATTAAATTATTATTAATCTTATTAATCTCTTATTAAGCCTCTTATAAAGAATCTGATGATAACTATCTCTGTGGTGAGGCTCCCGGATGATAAGCCCATCATCTCTCCTTCTTACTGACACATGATCTGTACCACCTACAGAGTCAGTCACTTCCTAACTAGCCAATTGACTTTTGACAAGTCACTTCACACCTTGATAATCCACATCCAGAAGCAGAGTTGGGACACAGGAACAGACTTGGTTCTATGATCCATGTGGTCACAGAACTAGCACAAAATGCCTCTCTAATAAGAAATTTGAGAATTACTAGATAAAATTATAT